TGTTGTTTTAAGGTATTTTGATAAGTTGGGCAGAAACTACTGTGAAAATATAACATTTTGACACAACCCATTGCGAAAATGTGATATTTTGGCAGAAATGAAAATTTTATATTTTGGCAAGAGTTCATGCTAAATTGTCGTATTTTGACAGGAATTATTGTTAAAACATGTGAACTTAAATCAATATTTTTAAATATGAATGTTGAACCTAAATCTACGTTTGTATACATCCAAGTTTTTGATCATGTCTCGAAAGAATTTTATGTTTTTGATCATGTCTCAAAAGAATTTTATGTTTGAATTTTTTAAAGATGAAATAAAAATATGAAAATTTGGATTTTTATACAGACAAAAATATGTGACCTCAAAAGTAGGGATGTTATTTGGATCGGAATCGGATCGAACCGACCCGAACCCGAATAATCCGAAAACCGAATGAGGGTAATTACATGAACCGAAAACCGAACTGAATAACCAATACATATTTGGTTCGGTTCGGGTACTAATCGGTTCGGTTCGGTTATTACCCGAATAACGTGTACAAGATGATTAACGACATAATATAACCGAATAAACCGTATTAGGATTCTAGAACCCAAATAATAGAATAATAATGTACTTTTGTATATTAACAATAAACATTCAAATACTATCATAACACAATAATACATTTAAAGAATAGTTACATAGTAGATTAACATAATAAAAATTAATTTCTTATTTAAGTTTCTTGAGTTGGATCCTAAATCCTTACAGACAACAGGAATGATTGATTTATGAAAGTTTGAAACAAGAGGAAGGATCGATAAAAATGATTTCAAGTTTGGAAATAGATGAGAAAATTAGTCGATTTTGAAACGATGAGAACGAACATAAGGTTTTTTTTTTTTTTTTTCTTGTTATGAACGACGATGATAGAAATGTGAATCATGATTTTGATTTCTGTCGATCAGAGAAAGAGGGGAGAAATGTTTATTCGGGTCGGATATTTAGAACCAAATAAGCTCTTATTTGGGTAACCCGAACCGAATAACTCGAAAACCAAATAAGCATAATATAGATATCCGAAACCCGAATCAAATTGCTTATTCGGGCCTAATTCGGTTCGGTTTTTCGGACTAAATTATCATCCGTACTCAAAAGTACTACGAAAATACCTGAAAACGTCGTTTTATGATTTTGGAATATTTTTCGTAATTTGACTTGAACCCTTGTGAAATTATTGGCTATTGAAGTTATTTACTCAAATTTTGTCTATTTTCTAGAACAATGTTAAGAATTTGTCTAGATTTTTTTCTCATTAGTTGGTTTTTAATAAATTAATTTACGATTAAATATGGATACAAATTATTAGACTTTTATATAATTTTTTTAGAGTGGAGGGATTCATTTAATTCTAACTCATTTAATCCACTGATATATTGGTCCCATATCAGTTTTTTTCTCTCCTCTCTCTTTTATCTTTCTCAACCACAACACATGATAACCTTACAACCATATCAATTTTTTATTTTAAAATATGGGTTTAGATCGTTTTTTGTCATTTAAATTTTGATTTTGTGCTCATTTGGTCACTTAACTCTTTTTAAGTTTTAAAATGTTCTCAAACTTGTGGTTTTGTACTCATTTAGTCACTTAATTTTTGGTTTGGTCATATTTAGTCACCTAATTTTTAAAATTGTGCTAATTTAGTTACTAACCTTTTAAATTTTTTCAAAAGTTTAGTGACTAAGGGGTGTTTGGCTTATCTTTTTGGGAGCCAAAAGTTATTTTGGCAAAAGTTACAAAAAAACAACATTTCCTGCACTTTTCCTTATATCTAAAATCCAAAAGTAGCTTTTAAAATGGTTTTAATAAACATCTTTTGCATTTTATCTTTTTCCAAAAAGAACTTTTTGCCCCTCAAAAGATAAGCCAAACACCTCATAAATGAACACAATTTTAAAAGTTAAGTGACTAAATGAGCAACAATCTAAAAGTTAAGTGACCAACACGGATGGATCCAAGGGGATCCCGGGGTAGCCCGGGATACCCCTCAAATTTTTTTCGGTGGTGTAATTTTTGTTTACGTATCCCTAAAAAAAAATCGGTATAGTGTACATATATGCATCCCTCCACTTATAAATACAAACAAACAGTTGGTCTGCTGTTTAAGGCATTGACTAATTGAAATATAGGTCCTAACATCAATTCTCACTTCTTACATATTATTTGTTTACTTTTGTTTTATTAGCCCAACTATTCTATCCCACATCGTTAAACACATGTAAACTCAACATTTTTTTTCTATTATATAAACTTCTTACCCTCATGCTTTATTTGATATCTACTTTGAATCCCACATCGATTCAAGTATTAAAATATACTTCAACTTCATGTTTATATAACAAGACTTGATGTTAGCTAAGGATTTGATTAAGATTTCGGTTTAAAACCGAAACCGAACTGGGAAAACCCAAGCACCCCGGGAAAAAAATTGGGCTACCCTAAAAAAATTGGGATACCCCTTTACTTTGATCCTGACTCCGCCACTCGTGACCAAACCAAAAGTTAAGTGACTAAATGAGCACGAAGTCAAAAGTTTGATGATATTTTAAAACTTAAAAAAAGTTAAGTGATGACTCCGCCACTGGTGACCAAACCAAAAGTTAAGTGACTAAATGAGCACGAAGTCAAAAGTTTGATGATATTTTAAAACTTAAAAAAAGTTAAGTGACAAAATGAACACAAAATCAAAAGTTAAGTGACCAAAAATAACTTAAACCCTTAAAATAAACACAAATTAATAAAACTCATACAAAACTCATTTACATAAGCTAAAAATATACAAATTTATTTAGAAACTAATAAAAAAACATACAAAATTATTTTGGCACAAATTTTATGCATAATGTACAAATGATTTATGCAAGAGTTGAAAATGAAAGAATCACGTTAGTGAAGCCGTGTATATAACCAACCCACAAACGGTAACTCATCAAGTAAGGTATCATTCTTTGAAGGTACCTTCCCTACCTCCCATAAACTTTCTATGATACCCTCCTCCCTTAGAATGAATTCAATAAAACTAAACAACTAAACCCAAACACATGTTTATTCTAAAGTTTTAGATCTAAAAGACATCGATTTTCACGTGTAAAAGCGAATAAATGATTCGGTGATGAAATTAATCAATATTCAATTTAAAAAAAAAAAAAAAAAAAAAAAAAGAGTCACGAAAGAGTTTGTTTTTTGTTGTTTTCCTTAGATTGGTTTTAGTGGTCCATTATACCCTTCAAAAGATGGGCCAGTTAGGCATGTCTAAAAATTAGTTAGGCAAATGTCACAAATGCTGCCAAAAAAAATTTGGTTTTGTGTATCAGCCGGGAATGTAAAGGAGCATTTATACAATCATGGGCTAAATGTACACTTATATGACTATGAAAAGGATATTTCGCGTTCCCCGAAAGTTAGATGAAGATACACATCGAGTGTGTGACACGCCTAAATAAAATAACTCAATCAACAATATATATTATGGATAAGCTTAAGATAATTTTAGAAAATCTGACACTTTAATAATTAGGGCAGACAGAGAAAGGATAGAAGAGAAAGATGAGTTTTGTATTTTATTTTCTCTTGTATATTGTATCCTATGTAGTTTTGTATCTTTTTAATTTAGTGGGTTGAATCGGTTGAGAATGATAAGTTTTTGATGTGTTGTGGGTTGGAAAGATAGAAGAGAAATGATAGATAAAAGTTAGATATAGAACAAATATAAAAATAGATTGTGTTTTACCCTTTTAACATTTTTTTATAATTAAATGTTTTTTACAATGAAGTTATACAATCATGTTTCAAGTGGTTGCTAAACATCTGACAATTTATGCATGTATCATCGGTAAAAATAGTAAAAATCTTAAAACATTGTTATGTAAATTAGTAATAACTAAAAATCCTGTTTTGTTCGATATTTACTATTAGTCTATTACTATTTTAAAATTTAAAATGTTATTAATTTCTATTTAAAAAAAAAAAAAGGTGTCATTAGCCTTTGGTTGAGGGTTCTAGTAATAATCCAATCGTAAAACTATTTATGAAACTCTATTTTTGTACCATATAAACTAATAACCAAATCTATAAAAAAATATTAAAAAAAGAGCATAAACATAAGTTTTTTATTTTTTTATTTTTTTTATTTTTTAAATAAGTAAATCCAAACACCACCATAGTTTCATTTACTGTTTGAATAGAAAAACCTCAACAGACGGGATGAATCAATAAACATAATCAATAAAAATATTATTTCCCATGACAACAAGTCACTAAATTAACATAAAAGCAAAGCAAATTTTCTTTTTATCATTTGTTAACGCTTTTTTCGTAAAACAATAACTTTATTTTTCCTTATGTTTACAAGTTGCAAGTTGCAACTCAACGTTTTATTAAAACAGCCAGATCTTATTGAAAAGCTACTACAATAAATTCCAATTTTCACAAATTTACATATTTAAGTTGCTTCGTATTAAACTTTTATAAATCCAAATTTATAATTCCCTACTACTCTCTAACATTACAATCTCTACACGAAAAACCATCAAACTATATAAGAACATGTATCCCATGCATTATAACTTGCAAGTTGTATATATGTTGCACTAAATTAAGCAAAAAAAAAAAAAAGAACTCAAATATGAAACCATTACATTCACTCACTCAAAATTATAATCCACTCCTTTTTTCATCAATAATATCTATCATCATCAAGTCAAGATTCAATAACCCATTATAGTCAAAGAAGGCCAAGAGTCTTCAGCTGCTGGACGTGCTCCGGCGGCAAAGGCGGCGGAGACCAATCATTTCCTGTCATTTCACCGTCCACATCCTCCACCACATATTCCTGTACAAAACAGGACAAGACCAAGTCAGTGTGATATCAAACAGTCTGAATCTAACCTAACCAGACTCAACAATAAACACATCAAAGGGTTTTTATTTTACCTTTGTTAGCATTCTTTTAGCTAAAATATGATAATGTCTTTGCCAAATCCTTTGTCCCACCATTGTAGCCACAAGCACACTGTAGAATATTCCAATCACAGTAAAAAGTCCAAGCACCACTAACGCCATTATAAATATTAACGGCAATCCAGCTTCACCTGCACCCCCTAAACAACCACATTCACCAGCTGCACTTGCACAACTCTCAAAGCACGTTGTACAATCCGTCCACATACACAGTGTCCCAGGTAGATGACAATCTGCACAAACTCTTTTCCAACAAAAAAAAAAAAAAAACCATTAATAATAAAAAAAATAAAAATTTGAAAAATGATTTATTTACCCTGGTTGACAGCAACAAAGACATAATTCTCTACAAGGCTGAGCAAGATCATTACGGACTCTTCGATCATAACATGTTATAAAACATCCCGATAGACCAAGCAGTGCGAAAAATAACAACGCACCTGAAGAAAAAAATAGGAATAAGATGGGACGTTGGTGTCATATTCTGAAAGTTGAGGGGGGGTTTATGAAAGTTTACCACATATGTAGTAGAAGCTGGTTTCACTATCGAAACCCCAGACAAGGCGAAGCCAAAACTTATGGTGTCCATCGATAAGATACACCAAATATGCCAATAAAGAAATCACCTGAAAAAAACGAATGAGATGATGGAATAACATGATGTTTATTATAAGAAAGAATTTGGAAATAGAAAGGATGTGACTTACGAGCTGTACAGAAAGAAAGATGAACAAAATGTCTCTGGTAACAAAGAAACGGAACTTCATGGTTCTCCATTTTCTGTCAGCAAGAACGTGGACTCTTAAATGATATGGAGCCTTGCATGTTGTGCAATGAGCAAATGCAAACCCTTCCTGTAGGAAATTGGAAATGGATCAAAGCTTAAAGGTGGGAATATGATTGGAAATCGGTTTTAGTAAAGTTAAAGAAAAAGAGATCAAAGATGGAAAGTTTACTCTCACAGCACGCCAATGATCAAGGCACTCCCGATGAACGTACTTTGATGTCCCTCTGCACTTGCAAGGTGCAATGAAATCTCTGCCTGATACAAAAAATTGGAAGATAAAGATTACCAAAAGGATTATCAAATCGGATAAGCAGTTGTGGGATCGAAGTTTCTAAATGACCCTCTATAACAAATGAAGTTGAAAGTATAAAGCATTACAACGTATCATGTTTATCTGAAGAAGAATGACGATGAGTAAATTGACATATGTAAAGAAGCACTCCGAGTTGCTAAAATCCAATATAATCTCATTCGTTTCAAGTGCCTAATACAATGCCTTACGAATGCGAACCCTAACATCGTAACAGTGAAATGTAAAAGAGGAATCGCCTAATTTATTTAGTCTCATTGGCCGATACTACTAAGGAAAACTCAATTGTGTGTAAAGGATGCGTCAATCTGAAGCATAACTTTGCCTCTTTCGAGCTATGAAAGCAAAGAGAACAGATGAAGACTGAGAATTATCAAAAACCCGAAAATTAACCAAAACCTAGAAATGAATTATAAGCAAGAAATCAAATACGACCTACCATCGGTTTCGAGACAAATTCGGCACTGAATTTGTTCCCCGGGACCGGCTTCTAAGTCGATCTCGGTCGGTTCAGTGATCAGAGAAGGTGCAACCAAAGGAGAAGGATCGGCGCGATCAGCCATAGAGTTCGAGAGATGGAGATGAATTTGCAGAGTCTCAGGGCTCCTCCCTCGTGAATTTGAGAAGAAACAAGTTTTGTTGTGGGATTTCGCTAGAAAACAGTGGTGATGAAGGAGATGAATGGGGGTGTCTGCATAGGGGCATCAAGCCATGAATTTGGATCATGAAGCACTCTTTGTTGATTGATGCACACATTGGTCACCAAGTATTGCAAATAGTAATATACTTGGTCAACTAAAATTTTGGGGTTACACCAACAGAATCTTGGCCCTGGTTCTCATGGTGCCTCAAAAACCTACATTGGTTCATATGTGGATTATTACAATATAAAAAACCAATATTGATAACAATTTAAACATGACTCATACCAGCTTGTTGAAATAACAGTTTTTAAAGCAATTTAAAAATGGCTTAACATCTCTACAAGTAGGAGTCCCATACTTTTAATATCAATTTGAAAAAAAAAATAAAATAATAAACATTCAAATAATACTAGGGATTATCACAATTAAAATAATAAGTTCTCACAAATCATCAATTAACGATAAAGTTCTTGCTGATCACCAATTGGATAATTAAGTCATCATCGGTTACCATCACCAGACTTAGAGTATGTACTCTAAACACTCTACGTATAAGATTGTTGATGTGAGGGTTCTTAAAGTGTGTCCAACTACTAGGGTATCTAGGTTTCTTAGGGGGGAGTGTGGGGGTATGTATGATATCAGCCTTAGAGTATGTAGTATGAACATAGGATCGTTGAAATAGAAGTTGTTGGAACTCACAATGGCTACAGGGAAACGAAATGTAGACATTACATGCATACAAGAGAATGAGTGGAAAGGGGTTCAAGTTAGAGAGAGTAATGGGCTTAAGTTGTGGTATTTAAGCCTTGAGAATACGAGAAATGATGTGGGAATCTTAATGTCTCCGGAGCATAGATACAATATAGTAGATGTAGTAATAGGATCAACGAGTGGCATTGAGGGGAGACTTTAATGGTCATATAGGAAGAGAAATCGACGAGTATGGTGGTGTATTCGAGGTTTCAGTTTTGGTACTAGGAATGAAGAGGGACACTCCCTACTTGAGTTTGTTATTGTGTATAATTTGGTAGTCTCAAACTCTTTTTTAAAAAGAGGGATACATATGTGATCACCTTTCCAAAGTGGGTGGGGGGGGGGGGGGGTTACTGTACCCAAATTAATTACCTTATGGTGTGCAATAAAGATCATAAGGAATGCAGTGATTACAAGGTGATATCAGGCTCGACATGCATATCGCAACATAAATTATTGGTATTAATTGGTTTTACACCTGAGTAAAAGTGTACATAAGGGAGCCATGATAACTAGACCTAAGATTAGAATGAGAAAAACCTGACACAACACCACAACCAGATATAAAATTAGCGGGTTTGGGTAAGAGATTTCGACATATTTTCCAACTCTACCTAAGATCCTTTAGAATAACTAAAAATGTGTGACATAAATTTATATGTGATCTAAATAAAGGTCAACGATCAAAAGGGACGTAAGGCTATATATATATATATATATATATATATATATACATAGAGAGAGAGAGAGCTAGGTTCAAATATGGATTAACATCTATTGTGCGGACGTGTGGACATTGGTATTCTGTGAGAATGACAAAGAAAATATGTTGTTTGATAATGTGAATATATTCAATCTTACATAACTATTGTCATTATCACACATTCTCACTAATTAAATCTATATGGTTATTATAGACATTTTTTTTAATTATTCTCATTCTGTCAGAATGTTTATTGAGTCATATTTTGTAAGAATGAAAATGAGTGAAAAACGATGTGTGAGAAAAAAATAACTAAGAATTAGTGGGAATGCATGAAAATGATGATAGTTGTGTGAGGTTGAACATATTCACATCACTAAACAACCTATTCTCTTAGTAATTCTCATATAATAACATTGTCTATACGTCCGCACAATAGTTGTCCATCGACATTATAACCTAGCCTTATATATGTATATATATATATATATATATATATATATATATATATGTGTGTGTGTGTGTGTGTGTGATATTCCCTTACATAACTTGTTCTCATCAGCTGATCAAGCTTTTGAATCATCTTAATCACTTTTTCTCCCTTGAAATGTTTAGTCTTGAGCTTGAACATGAATCTTTTTGAACCAACCAAAGCTTTCATGTACCCCTTCTGATATAGTTGAGTAAAAGGTATACAACAGATTTAATTGTCATTTGACCATATCAGTGTCGAGTTTGCATCAGAACTTATTATATTTCCCTCTAATGACCCCATCTTGATGATTTCACCAACAATAAAAGTGAACTAAAGATTGGTACATAATCATGTACATAACCCATTTAGGACCTCTTTTAACTCTAAATATTTCAACAAATAACTAACCCAAAGAAATGGTCACATAGGATCAGTTAAAATTCCTATATTATTTGCAAAGCCTAATCCTCCTAAAATGTAGATCATTACAAGCAATAACGTATTTAGCATGTTTATATCTCTTCTCTGTTGTTCCCCCACAACCAATTGTCCAAAAGAAAACATTATACTCTTCAGCCACTATTGAGCCAACACCATAAAAGAAAGAAGGAAGATCGCTTGTCTCGCTATGGGAATGTAATGCCTTGTTATCAAAGTTTATGCAACATTCATAAAGCATTCGAGGAATGTCATTAGTGTTACACCAAATTTTAGGGAGACATTGATAGCATCAAAGAACATTGATCCAAGTGAAACTTGTTCATTTTCTACTTTCAAATGGAGTAATGAACGAATAACCCTTACACATAATGATACAATTAACCATAAAAAATCAACCTTATACCAAGTGGAAAAACGTTTTTAGTATCATAAGGATCCTAAATATCCCCATTTTGACCTTTTTAAGAAGATTACTAAAGGAAAAACTGCAATCTTCAGTGGGATAGGGATAAGAACTAACACAAGCTTTTATCGACTCCAAAGGTACTACTTGTACCTTCAGAGGAAGGGACTTCATCTTCAAGCCTTTAAATGTAATCTCTATATTTGGCTGCATGGTTAAAGAGATATGAGTAAACATACCATTTCTTGTGTGCTTCACACACAATCTCATAGTCATTGGAGGAGGTTTTGCCAAATATCTCGTTGTTACTAGACAACAAATCAAAGTGCCCATTTCTGACTAAGCTTCTGAAGGCGATTTGATTTCAACTAGATTTGATTCCAAAAATCCTCTAAACTGTTTTGGATCAAATCAACTATATGATGATGAACACATTCTCATGGGTTTTACAGATAACAAAAATCATATTTTTGGCAGAAAACATAAAACCCTAAATTCGCATGCACCCTAAAGGATCTATGTTCTCACTATGATATGCAAACAACAATTTGAATTCAAGAACCCTAAAGTATATTTCTATTTTCGAAATTGGAGAAGGGTTATTAGAAAACATACCTTTTAGTTTATTATTGTAAATAAACTTGAATTCCTTCTTTGTAGAACTTCAGAAAGCCAACACTAGAAATCTCGTGCCTCTGATGGCTCACCCCCAAACACTAGAAGTTGGAGGTTGTTTAAGAGAGAGGAGGGGGAAGAGGATATTTGGAATTCCTTAGAGGAATAATCAGTTATGAAAATATGAGTCATAAGGAACCTTTATATAGGTGACTAGAGGGGCTTGGATAAGGCAGGTTTCCTTGGATAACCCTTATCCCCATTATTTACCCTCAAGTTTCCTTGGAGCCAAGATAAGCTCTAAAAACCTTTCAGAACCCCCTTAGAATCCATACAACCCCTAGGAAGGTTCTAGAATTGGTCAATCCTCAATATTGTAACACCGAAAATTTTCAAAACTAAAATTTCATTTAAATTCACTTTGATCTTAAAACACTTTTTGTAAAAATCTCATTTTTGTTTAAATTACAAAAAAAAAAAACATAACTCTATAATCAAATAAATAGTAATCCATAATCCTCTAAACATAATTATTTCTCTGGTGTGTACAATTGAGCCGGTGCCGTCCCGTGATCCTGAGAAAACCTGAAACACAAAGCACAAAACACTATAAGCACGAAGCTTAGTGAGTTCCCCAAAATACCACACATAACACATACTAGCCACTCGAGGCTATAACTCTGTGGGCCCTTGGGCCCTAATTCTATGGACCCTCTGGTCCTAGCTCTATGAACCTTCTGGTTCTAACTCTGATATACTCTGATATACACACGGTATCAATCACATAGAAATAATGCAATGCAACACAACACATAAATACCATACAATAACTCTGTCACATAACTCTAATTACCACTCAAGGTAAGGTATAGTGAGAAGACTCACCTCAGATGTCTTGGTAAATCCCTGACTCGGTAGCAGTATAGTCTAGCGTCCGCCTAATCACATAAAGTAAAATACGCTCATAAATATAACTCTCGAGACTAGACCCAACCGTCTCTTAGTAACCTCAGATGGGTAAAAGACCATTTTGCCCCTCTCTTGACTCAAAGACCCCATTGTTGACCAATCCCTAAAAGTCAACAAAGTAAACGGTCAAACTTTGACCTGACTCGTCGAGTGCACTTGGGCGACTCGACGAGTCTACACGTGTCCACTATCTCTCTAGCCTCTCATGACACGTCGAGCCTTCCCCCTGCTCGACGGGTTACACCTGACATGAATTGCGGTCGAGTTCAATTATGGACTCGGTGAGTTCCACCTGTAATCCTCTACCCCTTTCTGACTCACCGAGTCATTCCCCAAACTCGGCAAGTTATTGAGTAACTTACAGGAAACCCTAGCCCTACTCGCCGAGTCTGTTCTTGGGACTCGGTGAGTTCATGCCATGCTCGAGCTCAAATGAGCTCCTAAGGTCAGATCCGTTCCTCTAACTCATAGATCTGGCCTCCTAAAGAAATAAAAACACGTAAAGTTTGGATCTTGATGCCCATGCAAGGACCCCATGGCTCTATTTGAAGAAATAGCCTCAATATGCCATCCGAAACTCATATCTCTCCAGGACACTCAATAAAGATCAAGGATTTAAGGTCTCTGGACCTCTTTGGATCCATTTTTGAAGCCTCAACACAAGAAGGGAGCAAATGCACTAACAATCATACTCTAAATGGGCTATAAACCCTAACTCTAAAGGATTAACACCCCAAACTGAAGAAGGATTGAATATGTACCTCAAGATGAAGTCCTTAAGCTCTTAAATCCACATATTAGCTCCCTCTTTAGCTTCCTCTTACCTTGGTCACCTTCTTCTTGCAAAACGACCCACACAAGGATCAAAAATGGCTTCCTTTCTCTCTCAAAACACTCATACACTCTAGGGTCTCTCT